AAAAAAAAGTCCAACAGAGTAAGTGGGCTTTACCCAAACTCTGAAAGCTGATCTAAGCCACAAAGATAGAACAATCTCCTGACTGTTTCCAAGAGACAAAAATGAAGCAAATGAACACCTAATTCATGTGATCACTCCAGAGACTGAACACCTTCTCTCGTTCTTTTCCATTCTTCCTCCTCCAGTCTCCCGAAATGTGTGAAGTGATGCAATGTGGCAACAACAGGTTGTAACTCAGGGGGCTTCGTAAACCTGTTACTAGCCCAGCAAAGCCCAGTGTTTGGACAGTTTGCTCTGTGTGTGTGTGTGTGTGTGTGTGTGTGTGTGTGTGTGTGTGTGTGTGTGTGTGTGTGTGTGTGTGTGTGTGTGTGTGTTAAGGATCTATGAATGGCATTGTTCTGAGAGAGCTGCTTAGGCAAATGGCTTAGACAGATTAAATGCTTGTGTGTGTAAATTTTTTACAACATACTCAGAGCCACATTTTCAAATAATGACACTATACATATGCGTAGGTGTGAATCTTTTTGCATGTGCAGAAATAATGTACACCTAGTGTGTAAATGGGATGTGTGTGAGGTGCAGGTGGGTAATTAGGCTACCGGATTTGCTATATACAATAAACTATACATCATAAATACAAATTATGTGCAAAAGAGATTATGTGATTTATGCTAATCTGACTAGTACTTACACAAACACAGCTTCACTGGAGAATTTAATATGTTTTGAAGAGCAATTAGAAGGATTTTCCACTAAAATTCTTGATAGTGAGTTCATACATGAATTGGCAGTGTTTGGTCCCAAAAAATTCAAAACATACCGTTTCCAGGTAGGGGTTAACATTGACAAGCTTTTATCGGGTATTACCAGTAAAAAATCCTGTCATGATATTTACAAATGTAATGTATTATCTTTCTAGTGCACATATTTGTTAAAAAAAAAAAAAGTTTAAAACAACAACAGTGCTTGTATCTTGATACACTACACCAACAACACATTTATTCTAATGTCAGTAAACACAATCAAAGAATATTTATGGGACATATATAACATAACATTAGGCATATACAAGAAACATACATGCATAACAAAGCATATCCATAATACCCTTAGGCCCCCTCTTAGCATTGCTATCACTAATTGATGTGCCAACGTGTTCTTAAGGACCACTCAAGCTGACAGATATGGCTCTATACCATCTGCGGCACTGCAAGTATTTAAATGGGACACCGCAATGTAAATAAGCTATATATCATAAAATGGTTCAGAAAGCCAATCATACCAATACTGTTCAAATTGAACATTTAGAAAGGTTTTCAATACAGGATTTGTATTCATTATTTTTTTAAATGATTATATTCTTTTAAACAATACCTGAATAATAGACTGTGCAAGGGCATAAGAATTAACTGGGCTACCACATAGACAGATAAGAGAGAAAAGAGGAAACAGAATTGTTTTGTATAATTGATATTATTGATAAATGAAAACAGACGACAGCTTCACAGAAATATTGAGTGTCTTCTGTGCAAAAGGTGAGTAAACTAATTCTGAAACCCACTGTATTGTACAGGAGTTATTAAAAAGGTTTAAGACCGTATCAATAATAATCAATTAATGACAGTATCAATAATTGCCTGAAAAAGACAAGCTTGGAGAAAGAAGAACATTTTCTTTGCATGCAGTCATTTACAGTAGGTTCATGTCTATCTAAAGTCATGTGTGCACAAATGAAGTACATGCTTCTGAGGTTGTTTGTGTACATTTACATCACAAATGCAGGTATGCACTAATGTATGTATGTTTATGTTTACACATGGATAAACAGGGTACTGTACACAAGCATGTAGCTGCACCAATACATCAATGAGAGCACACAATTGCCCATATGTTTCTGTATAGCCAGGGGGGTTTAGCAGCTTACTGGCCCTCCTCCCAGCTTTAGACAGGAACGGGAATTAGACAGACTGTGGGAATTCTTACTGGGATTCAAATCACCAGCTCTAATCAGAAACGGGGCGAAAAAAAAGAAGCAGAAAATCCACCAAACTGTACACTGAGGCTAGTCCTATGGTGGGTATGTGTGTGAGAGTGCAAGAATAAGAATTACGTAATAATCCAGTTCTCTCAACTCCTATCATGACATTATAGAAAGCGGGCTTAGAGCCTTAGTAGTGTGTATTAGTGTAGTAGTGTGCGCAGATAGAGCCTCACATCTCACTGGAGTAGGAGAAGGTCCTTGGAGGATACGGCATTTGTGTGTGTGACATGTGCATGTATGTGTGTGTGTTATGCCTCTGCATGGCATAAAATGGGTCAACCTTGTTATTGTATGAATAATATAAAAGCCTACTTAAATGCACAATCCAAGGTTGTATAGTGATGACAACAAGCCAAATTAAAGCTACAGATGTGATAACACTCTTTCTTATTGTGGAAAGTCTGTGAAGTGTATGTTCTGAATCAACACATTTCATTTATTAAGGATAGACTACATATATTTGGCACAACCTCAATAGTATAATAGCTTAATTTGAATGGTAATTCTCCAGACTGCTGCCTGGCCACTGAGTTCAGGCAGATGTAGTGAACTGATGACTCTAAAGCACTCACAGGCAGTGGTGGAGTCCCCACTGAAGCACAAGCCTGAGGGTCATTTTGACCTGTCCTGAGGTTGAGCAATGATATTAAAATCAGGAACAAGTAGATAAAACTCCAAATGCAAGCATCAAGCAAACTGCCACCATCAACTATTAAGAGCATTATCTTTCTGCAATTTTGTAGACTCCACAAAGATGCACACATGCAACCTGCACCCTTCTTTCATCAAAGGAAGCAAAGTCTACCTGCTTCTGTATGCATAATATTAGACAAATCACCCACCATTACATAACATCAATTAATAAAGGATTGGTGGAGAGAGCAATAATAAAAAGGATAGATAATGTATTTGAAGAAATAGGTGTCAGGACTGTCAAAAACAGGTATATCAGTATTTTGCACATGTCTCAACTCTGTATATTTTTATATATTTTATTTATTGTTTACTCTATTTAATTTGTAAAATATGTGTACACACACACACACACGTAGAAAAATATTTAGTATACACATCCAGAAATGCATATACTATTATATATTGTACATATATTTATTAGTTTCAGATGTAGCGATTCTTGTATTTTGCTTGTTTACATTATTGTATTTTGCACAACTCTGTTGCTTGTGAAGCTCGCACACAAAAATTTCACTCACGTGTACTGTACCAATGTACCTGCACATGTGATGTGACAATAAAAGTGATTTGATTTGATTTGATTATTGGAGCTTTCAGTTTAAGCTCAAGGGTTATTTTTTTGTTTGTTTTTAAGGACAGATTTTGCAGTTTGTAGCTCTTATCTGTGTACTACAAATAACCCATCAAATTAAATTTATTATGGGCATGATATTCAGTCAAACAGAATCTAATATTCTGACACATGGGGTTATCATGCAAGATTAGCAGTCTGTTGGTTTGGTGAACAGAGTGGCCTGGAATGGAGTGAAATTCGAGGCCTAAATTATTGTTGCAGTCTGTCTCTGTTCACAGTTAATTCATCTTCTTTCAAATGGTAGCCACACTCACGAGGACGTATGCAGGAAGCATGAAGAGTTAGGCATATTATATAAAATAAACACAAAAAACCCTTTCATTTCTTTGACAGATAGATTTCCATTCTCATATGAAGCCATGACACAAAGCTGCTAAGGGCATCAACATTTAATCAGGTGGCAGAATCACTTCAGGCTATGTGAGCCCCTGTTTTCCTATGAAGAAAGTGAAGACATGAAACATTTGCAGCTAAAGTCAAAAGTTCACTCCGTTTCATCCTCGACACCTTGCCAGTTACATTTTTAAGCAGTATTTGTGACCTGTCTTATGGACCTGATTGTGAAGCAGCTCTCTAAAGTGTGAACTTAACAGATTCTTTGCCCTTGAGCTCACAAGACTGACAGTGAGGGGAAGTCGAGACATTTCAAATAAGTCTTTATCCTTGCCTAGAGAGGCGTTCTGTAACCAAAATCATTCCTCTCTACCACACCCAATCCCCACAAGCTTTTTTCCTCCCCAATCAGGGTGTGACTCAGCAGCAAGTTTTGCCTACGGAACAGAATGTACACTCACTCACACACGCGCGCTTTCCTTTTCACCGATTCCAATGATGGCTGTGGGCTCTCTGTGTAAAGATGACAAGTTGGCAGAAGGATTTACATTTTTGCCTAATTCATAAAAGACTGCAAACCACAGACAAACCTCAAGTTCTTCAATCGCTACAGCTTAGTGGTGCCCGAGCAAAATTACTTTCTATGGAAAACTGAAAACAACTGTGGTATAACAAAGTAAACCAAACAAAAATGTTCCTTTTAATGCAACCCTTGTCCACCAAATTCAACTGCAGTACTTAATCAGAGTCACTTCAAAAACACAATCACCATGACTATAGAAAAAAAGAACAGTGATGTAGCTGTGACATAACATGAACTTTCATTTTAATTTAAACTGCTGTTAACTTCAAAACTGGTCCAGGCAAGAAAGTTTTTTTCATGTCACAACCTGAGGAAAAATTCTTGCAAATCAGTGTGAAAGAGAGGTGATTGGCTGTTAAGTACATCAGAGAGCCAGCAGGGCAGAAGCTTTCAATATTGACCCAGTTTGCATTTGGCTGATCCCTGTGTCGTCTGTCTTAACTGTAACATGAAGGGGATTTCTGACACACAAATGAATTCATTGTATTAAAAATAAAATAAAACAAAAAATAAAAAACTGCTCATAGACAGATTGTCATAATATGCAAAAACAATACATCAAACAGCCTCAGAGAGTCAAATACATAACCTACCTGTAGAAATGTGTTGAGGGGTATGTAGGACTAGCCTGTCTTCCCTCTCTCTTCTCGGTTTAAATCCAGTGTTGCATTTTTTCCGATGCCCTCATGACTGGTGGAATACTGCTCCTGGGGTTTAAAAAAAAGAAAATAAATAAATAAATAAAATTTTGGGTGGGATATTTTAGACACTATGATTATCAATTTGATCTCGTATCATTAGCTTCACTCTGAAAGTGCCTACTTTGTCAACCATTTAGTATTTTTTCCCCATTTCACAACATTTTACAGTCTCAACAAGCATCTGAACTACATTTTATATCATCTTCCTTACTCTAGAGTACCAAAGGGTTGTTCATTGGCTCATAAAACAAGAAAGGAGGAAAGTAATATTTACCAGTAAGAACCATAAGGAATTCTTTACAGCCATAGGTGTAGTGCTCACAGAGTGTACGGTAACAAAGGTCACTAAATCATCACAGAGCGTAAATAATCAAAAGTGTCATGTAAAAATTTAATTTCGATTGATTGATTCATCAGGTCAACAGCATATATATGAGATACACTAAATTATAACTGTAACCATGCCATAGGTGGACTCTGGAACTGAAACAAATAGCATGACACATCTGATAACAGCAGATGGTGAAATGACTCAACAGCCAATGAAAATCTTTGTAGTGATAGATACTTATTATGTTCTCAGTTTCGGGAAAGATGGCAATGTAATTTCCATAACAAAAACAGAAAATTTAGCGGAAATGTAATCTGTGTACATTTTCTCAAAAAAGGCGGGCTTGAGATGTTTTTTGCCTTAAAATGCTCATTGGTATAACTTTATTCAGTGCAGCAGTAAAAATACAGGCACCATCTTCATGGATCCACAGTCTACCTTTATGCAGAACGACAGATACAAAAACCATGTTCATGCTGAGTGATTTTCTACACCCACTTGGCCATTTTCACAGGGAGCTCGAGGTCTATGCCAGACTACAGTCAGCTGACAACATCTCAGGCTAGATATCAGAGCATTTTATATGAAGAAGTGCTTCCTATTTTGCAGACAAATGCATCTTCTTTCAAATACATGAGTTCAAGGACACTACATACAGTGCTTATGGACACAAGCTTTTGCAAGCACACCCACAAGCAAGCATAATATTTTGTTTTCATCCACGTACACACACAGTATTACACATATAGTCGATTCACACATACACATCAAATCTGAGAGAGTTGTTCTGACAGCAGAGCGCTGTCAGCTACTGGCCTTTATTTCGTTCTGACAAGCAGGTGGAACAGCATCAACTACCAGTGAATCCAACCTCATCCACAACTACATAATCGTTTTGAGACGGGCACACAATAAAAATCAATTGTTGTCTCGGACAATCAAGATTTACAGTAGATCTGTTATTTAGGACACAAATGACACTGTGACCTTTTTGTTTGAGCAACCGAATTCCTGTGTCTAATCAAACTGGAATGAGTCCTTTCCTCATCTCCTCCGCCTCCCACATTACAGCCATTTTTACCCTTCTCTCTCTCTCTCTGTCTTATTGGTTAACCCCCACTACTTCCTCCTTTCTCTTTTTGATGGTGCCGAGTGGCAGATTGGACGCTCAAAGGAACCACATTCAATAATAAAACAGGGAGAGGGGATTCAGAGATGAGAGAAGAGAGATAAAAATGTATTGTGCCCCTTCTGAGTGTCCCTGAATGATTTATAACACAACTGACGCTTGCATGAGCCTCTGGGAAAGTTGTGGCTGCACTTCTCCTCCTCCTCGCTTACTCCACCCTGCCTGGCATTTATGACCAAGCAACAATGAAAAGAAAAATATGTACAGTCTATGTAGTGGGAATAAGTATAACAGTACAGGTTTATTTGCATCTTTTATTTGAGTCTTCGAGTTCTTGACGAGGTCAGTTTTATTTGATGGACTGATAAGAACATAAAGGCAGCATTGTGAGTGTTTTAAAGAGGTTTCGATTGTCTTCACTTTGAAATAAAATAATACATTTTATACTGATGTACTGTACTGTGTGAGCTATATAAGGGCTTTTAAAATACACTACTTTGAAATGAGTCAAAATCTTGTTCAGTTAATTATGTGACATGGCTGTACAAATTGTAATAATTTCATTGAAACAATCTTTTATCAAATTGGATTGCTGATTAATTATCTGTTAACTGAGCAATTAGTTAATGGATTAAGGGTTAGAGGTATAAACACAGAAAATGCATGCAGACTGTAAAGATACTTCATTTGAATAAAAAAAAAACATGAATATTTTATGTACAGTACAAAAATGAAGAATAAATCAGCAGAATGAGTTACAATAGATAAACCCTGTTGTCACAAGCGAACATAATCGAGTCTTAAGGCAATTTTGTAAATACTGGTCCTTTACACATTTTATGTGAATGAAACAGAAAAGAGGTCATATTAAATTTAAAAAAAATGAAAGTTAAACTGGAATGTCTCCTGGCCTGGTGGCTGAGAAGCATACTGCTGCAATGCTAACCAAATGTTTCAGAGCATTCAGTGGATGTGCATACATGTGAGTCGTGGTGTTGGAGGAAAAGAGAAGGTTATAAAGGTTAGCAGGCCAGCTGCAGCATGACATGATGAAATGTGCTTTAACAAAGAAAAAACAAAACAAAAAAACAACAAAAAAAAAAACAACAGAAAAATGGCTGAGACTAAGGCACAGAGCATGTGGTAATCACTTAAACAGTAAAGTTAAAAAAAAAAAGGGTTAGGGATATTGTAGGTTTGTAGAAGATAAGTTAAAGAGTGTGACAGCCCATGTGAAAAGTTTCTGATTTTAAGGCTCTTAACTAGTCCATGCTCACCTGTACAAACATAAATGAGTGAAATACTAATCAAATTACTTCTTATTCCAAGTTCAGAAGAATTAAGGTAACGTATGCTCTGGAAAACATGCATAACACCATCTCTGACATTCTATGTTAACATTCTTTCATAAACTTCATTAGTGTATTGCCTAGAAATCAAAATCCTGAAATCCATCTCTTACTTTCTGTTCCTCCTGTTATGACACACTGTGATATGAATCAGAAATCTTGAGTCACATGTTGTCAATTTCCAAGACACAACTTGGCCAACAAAAACTGCTTCAACCGCCTAACATTGCATTTCTTATTTTTGGTTGAAAAAAATAAAAAATAAAACAAAAAAAGAAAAACTGCTTTCAAGGGGATTGGCCAAACAATTCATCAAGTGAGATGTCAGGGTGTCAAACATGGACTTTGTCCAACTTTAATCCCCTTTTAGTTTCAGTTTTTAGATGTAAAAACAAAATGTCACAAAACTGATTGTAGACGTTATAAACAATGACATCACTTCCTTCATGAAAACCTGGGGAATTTTGTGCAATCTAAGAACTGAAAGCACGAGAAATGGTGTCAGTAGCCAACTTTTGAATTATGTGCATAATTGGAGCACTAAAAACCAGTTAGGCTAGTTTAATAGTTCATCCTTCTTTTTTGAGTGTTGATTTTCCTAAATTTAAATGAATGACACTAATACTCAGAGTTTACAAATGTAATCAATGACTCCCAGTGTGGCTGAGGATGACTGAGGTGGGTTTTTGATGAGTCATTTTGGAGTTGTGCTTAAAATCATGTCCCATAGTGACACACCGCTTTATTTAAAGCCGAGGCAACCAAAATGCGAGGCTATTTCAACAACACGAAAAATTCTTCCCGGATGAAAATAAACTAATCCAGTGAGATAGAAAGAAACTAAACATTATGTTCTGATTATTCTGCCAGGGTGGCATGGTGTGGATTTTTATAGCAGTGACTCATTTTCACACAGTGAAGAATACACACATACACATACATAGTTTATGCTGTAAAGCAGGATTTGGAGACTTCAGGGCAGCTCTCATCTCAAGAGCTTAGTGGCACTACTGAGACATGCATGCATACAAACGCACACACGCACACAAGACTGTTACCTTCTCAGATTAGTTTTAAGCCTAATGCCAACATAAATGTAGGCGTTGGTGGATTGAGGGACAAATACTAGACAAATAAGTGGCCCATCCACCGACCTAAACCCTGGGCCAATTCTTACTCATTAGTTTATTTGAAGTGATTCGCTCTTGTTGCCTTAAAGCAACAACAGCTCAGAACCTTACAGTGGGTACTTTATTTGTGCTTTAGATGACTTATGATGAACTCTGCACAGATTACTTTGATGGACCTCTACATTTCTATCTCGCTTAAGCACCGTGGGGATGAAGTACAGATTAGAGATGAGCTAGTGTGCCTACGATCGTGACTTAAACTAATGCAGAGACAACAAATGTAATCGGCAGCTTTATCAGCAGAATGGGGGGGGGGGGGGTTTGTTTGTTTTTGGGGGGTTTCCATTGTGTGAATGGAAAAAAAAATGTGGAAGACTTTTGGTCAGTAATCACATCCTTAAAGAAAAAAGGGAAAAAACTAAGTCCCCACTCTATAAAAAACTATGTCTGGATTGCCATAACTTTCACAGGAAGCATTTTAAAAATCATGCATAGAGCTAGAAAAGGCTCCGTGGCATTTGTCAGCTCTAGGTAAGATTGTCTGTTTACTACTGTGTGAGGGGGAGGGGAAAAAAAAGAAGAAGTGTTGTTATGCTTCCTACCACTGATTACCCTGAAAATTCACATAATGTAAAATAAGGATGCAAGGATAGGGGAAAAAACATCTGCAGAAGTCTTGATTTGGCTGGCCAAAAACCCTCACAAAAAAACCCCAACAAAAAACAAAGGATTCATGTTCCCTGTAACACAAACACTAAATAAGAATGGTGTTAACAGAAGCGCAAGATGAAAACATTTTTAAAGTATACTCCAAATAATATCAGCTGGATGTTCCACAACACTTGTGGATGATATTCTGCAGTCACATGATTTAAACTATTTAGAGGGGGGCAAAAAGGCACCGCTCAACAACACAACTGTATTCCAGCTGTGAAACAGTGGAGGCCAATATCATGGCTTGCTACCCCAGGGCCTGGATGCTTTGCAATAACTGAAGAAACTTTTAATTCAAATCTGAATCAAGAAATTTTACAAAAAAAAATGTCAGGGGAGTAGTCCATGACCCT